GAAGTGGGCAATACTCTGCTTGATGTGTTTCTCAAACTATAATGCCTGCTTCCTGAGAAAATGCAATAAGATGGATTATAGGAACTGTGCCCTGCAATTTTTTAATGTTTTTTTACACTGCCTGAATGAGAGAAAAAACAACCTACTTATCTCAAGGCAGTAGTGTAGCTGCTGACTGTTCATCCTTGCTAAGAGAATGCAGGTACAGTCAGGTCCATAAATATTGGGACATCGACACAATTCTAACATTTTTGGCTCTATACACCACCACAATGGATTTGAAATGAAACGAACAAGATGTGCTTTAACTGCAGACTGTCAGCTTTAATTTGAGGGTATTTACATCCAAATCAGGTGAACGGTGTAGGAATTACAACAGTTTGCATATGTGCCTCCCACTTATTAAGGGACCAAAAGTAATGGGACAGAATAATAATCATAAATCAAACTTTCACTTTTTAATACTTGGTTGCAAATCCTTTGCAGTCAATTACAGCCTGAAGTCTGGAACGCATAGACATCACCAGACGCTGGGTTTCATCCCTGGTGATGCTCTGCCAGGCTTCTACTGCAACTGTCTTCAGTTCCTGCTTGTTCTTGGGGCATTTTCCCTTCAGTTTTGTCTTCAGCAAGTGAAATGCATGCTCAATCGGATTCAGGTCAGGTGATTGACTTGGCCATTGCATAACATTCCACTTCTTTCCCTTAAAAAACTCTTTGGTTGCTTTTGCAGTATGCTTTGGGTCATTGTCCATCTGCACTGTGAAGCGACGTCCAATGAGTTCTGAAGCATTTGGCTGAATATGAGCAGATAATATTGCCCGAAACACTTCAGAATTCATCCTGCTGCTTTTGTCAGCAGTCACATCATCAATACAAGAGAAGCAGTTCCATTGGCAGCCATACATGCCCACGCCATGACACTACCACCACCATGCTTCACTGATGAGGTGGTATGCTTAGGATCATGAGCAATTCCTTTCCTTCTCCATACTCTTCTCTTCCCATCACTCTGGTACAAGTTGATCTTGGTCTCATCTGTCCATAGGATGTTGTTCCAGAACTGTGAAGGCTTTTTTAGATGTCGTTTGGCAAACTCTAATCTGGCCTTCCTGTTTTTGAGGCTCACCAATGGTTTACATCTTGTGGTGAACCTTCTGTATTCACTCTGGTGAAGTCTTCTCTTGATTGTTGACTTTGACACACATACACCTACCTCCTGGAGAGTGTTCTTGATCTGGCCAACTGTTGTGAAGGGTGTTTTCTTCACCAGGGAAAGAATTCTTCGCTCATCCACCACAGTTGTTTTCCGTGGTCTTCCGGGTCTTTTGGTGTTGCTGAGCTCACCGGTGCGTTCCTTCTTTTTAAGAATGTTCCAAACAGTTGTTTTGGCCACGCCTAATGTTTTTGCTATCTTTCTGATGGGTTTGTTTTGTTTTTTTCAGCCTAATGATGGCTTGCTTCACTGATAGTGACAGCTCTTTGGATCTTATCTTGAGAGTTGACAGCAACAGATTCCAAATGCAAATAGCACACTTGAAATAAACTCTGGACCTTTTATCTGCTCATTGTAATTGGGATAATGAGGAAATAACACACACCTGGCCATGGAACGGCTGAGAAGCCAATTGTCCCATTACTTTTGGTCCCTTAATAAGTGGGAGGCACATATGCAAACTGTTGTAATTCCTACACCGTTCACCTGATTTGGATGTAAATACCCTCAAATTAAAGCTGACAGTCTGCAGTTAAAGCACATCTTCATTTCATTTCAAATCCATTGTGGTGGTGTATAGAGCCAGAAATGTTAGAATTGTGTCGATGTCCCAATATTTATGGACCTGACTGTATATCTCATCCAAAGCTTGTGTCTTCTTCAGTTCAAGATGGTCCAGAATCCCATAACAATGGAGGCGGATGCTTCCTGTGAACACTTCAGTCAGACTGCCCAATAAACTTAGAATGGCACAAATAGAAAGTGGTATAGCTCTTTAGGGTACAAAATGTCACCACTGTGTGCAAAAACACGCTACACTCAAGCTCTAGTAGAAAGCGGGGGACTTACCCCATGTGTGACCTCACCTACCCCCGACCAAGAAGGAGTGGTCAGGTTGTAGTCCACGGCAGGTCAGTAGATGTCTGAGGTATGTTCTGAAATTGATCCTCCGGGGTTCTTGGAAAAATGGGAAAAGGAGCTTGGAACAGAATTGAATGCACAGCAATGGAATAAAGTTTTCAAATTAACACGAGGTGACAAATATGAGCACAGTGGAGATAAACTAGATGGTATTACACCAAATGAAGCTCACAGGCAACAAGTAGATACTTCACCTCTGTGCTGGAGAGGATGTGGAGAAAGGGGTACAATGGGATATATATGGTGGAGTTGCCCGAATATTCAGGATTACTGGAGGGAGATAATCCAATACATTCAGGAAATATGTGTGATAACTGTACAGAGAGATCAGTGGAGGTATTTATTTTATAACTTTGAGCCCTCAGCGAAATTATATAAAAATAGTGTACTTTATCACTTAATTAGTGCAGCTAAGGGTTTGATTCCCAAGTTCTGGGAGGTCCCTGAAGCACCAATAATTAACGAATGGACAAATAGAGTTGAAAATATCTATAGGACGGAGGAGCTATGTCACATGGAGGAGGATACAATGGCAAAATTCAGGAAAACGTGGTGTAGTTGGTTGAAATGTAAAACCTCTAAAAGATATCTGGAACTCGTCGGAATTGAGGGGGAAGCTTAGAAGTCAGGAGAGAGCCTTAACTGAGAATCAAAAGAGAGAGCAGCATCAGAGATAGATAGATAAATATGAGAGAAGATGTAGTTTAGGAAAGAGGAGGTGGATGGGGAAAATGGGTTGGGGGGAGGGTGGAAGGGTGGGGGTAATATTGGGGTAAATGGAAATATGTATATGTGAAATATTTTTGCAAATGTGTTGTTGTTCTTTTTGTTCTGAAATGAGAGTGGTGAAGTCACAGTTTAAAATATGAAGATCTGCAGTATGGGAGCAGTAATAGTAGTGAGAGCAGCATCAGAGAGCTGTATGTGTAGAACACTGGCCACATGCTTTTGTGGCAGGGCTTTTTTCTTGTGTAGAGTTGTGCTAATAGGAAAATCCCAGGAAATGGAATCCTAGAAGAAAGGACAAAATGCCTTGAAGTAAAATGACTATAAGCATGGGAAAAATTGTGTTAGCACTCTTGTGTTAGTAGAACTGTAATAAAATAAAGCCACTTCACCATGAACCCTCTTCTCGGTGCCTCATAAGGGGCCAGCAGCATTAGCATGTGAATAGCCTGTTCTGCTTACCATATGAGGTAAGTACACAGAGCTGTTGAGGAGTGGTGAGTCTGGTGCTCAGGAGCCTGAAGGATCTATGGTGACTACACAAATTCAGGGACCAGGCCTGTCATATACAGAAGCCATGGTGCAAGCACTATGTATGCTATGTCCAAGGCAGCGCCATTACAGTAAAACACCCAATCTTCAGTATCATCTGGGAGACACTTGGATGACTGGAGAGACTACCAGTATTCTTACTATCTAGCCTAAAACTACCAGCAGCTGCTAATGGAAGAATTCTGAAAAAATAATTGATCCAGTAGAGCTGGAAAAAAAATTATTTTTCTCTAGTAGCCTAGGGTCCATTTCTTCTTATAAGCTGTTGAATTGTCCCATGTCCTTTCCCATCCTTCCACTCCATAAAAAGTGTATTGGCAACTCCTATAAAATGTTAGCCTAAAGCCCACCCTCCTACTTAGGCAAACCACAGGTTCACTTTAAAACTATAAGTACGATTTGTAAATGTGACCAAAAATAAAAGTATAAAGTCCAGGCTCGCCAAACCCTTTTAACACAGCTAATTCTTGGGCGATTACTATTAGGGCTCATTTACAGGAGCAGCACTCTATGGCCCTTCTGAAAAGTGATCCTATGCGGTAGAGCAGCAACTGGCAGGCATTCAGAAGGTGATACTGCCGCCTCCTGAAAGCCATTTTTCTTTTCAGACAAAGAGGGATTTTCTTTTGAAATACGCTTCAACCATGAATCGTGCTGTTACATCCTGATCCCATTCAATTGACTGGGTCGCTTTTGGTAGTGGTACAGCCTGCCAAACGCGACCTGTTGTATAAACTTTGCCGAGCCACAACTTCAGCAGTTTGTACCAACATAGCCACTGGTCATGTCTACCTGTAACTTGGTGGTCATGGGCAATAAACCTACAGCTCAACCACCTATTTTTACCACCCCCTGATCACCTGTGTAATTAAGGCCTTAGTCAGCTAAGTATTATAATGATGGACCACATGAAGTGTATGGGGGCAGGGCTCAGTGGCAAGCTTTAACACTACCCAGATGTGTCTGACTTTGCATATGTAGCACGTCCTAGTTTAGCTAGGGGGAGCTAGACCCTGAGGGCTAGTGAGGAGCTGATTAGCAGCTCAGGTGAGATAGTCAGAGGGGTCAAATTCTGGTCGGGGCAGGGAGACTCTGCAGGCCATCCCCTCTGGAATTTCCCCTTGCTCTGAGGCTTTCAGAGGAGGGCCTTGGAGGCAGTGGGTGGATCTGAGAAGTGGTTGGTTGCACTTGTGAGGAACCTCAGCCAATCCCAAACAGGAGGCTTGGCAAAGGGCTGGACTCCCTTACAATGTGTTTGAGCCTGCTCAGTAGGGTGAGAGTTGGGTGGAAGAAGGAGAGAGCAAAATGTGAGGCTAGAGGATAAAGGCTGCCAGAAGGCCTAGCGGGGTGGTGCCTGCCTGCAAGCTTGGAGCTGGAACGTAAGAAATCTCAGGATTCATGGCCCCCTGAGAGAGGAGCACCTGTATGGCAGGAAGGAGGAGCCCATCTGGTAGGCCTGGTAGCAGCAGCCATTCCGCAAGTGATACAGGAGATCCGAGTGAGTACTCCTGCACCCCCTGGGTGGATAGAGGAAGGAGCACTCTGGAAGAAAACCAGATTAGCCATCTACTAGTGACTGTACACCTTACTTAACCTCTCTGGCAGTATTCCCGAGTGTAGCTCGGGGTAAAGTTTCAGTACCACAAGCGGTAACCCCGAGCTACACTCGGGCTTACCATGCGGCGCTGCTCCGCGATCCCTCGATCACTTACCTTGTCCTGCGCCCCGTGATGTCCCTCCTGCAGTGTCCCCGGCAATGTAATCTGGCGGATGCCGGCATCTGTCATCTGGGTTCCGTCCCCTGCGAGCGTCGGGACATATGGGGGACAGAAATTTGAAAATTACAAAAAGTGACATTCACTAAAATCACTAAAATCACATAGTAAAACATTACTGTATCAAAGCATTTCACATACATTTTGTCCCTAGTGCTTTGTCCTGTGCCCTGCCTGCATTTTTACTGTTCTTTCTGCCTGGAAACTGAGAAACGTCCATGGCGTCCAAAAAGCGTCCCTTTAGGTCAAAAGCGGTTTTAGACCAGCTAGAGAACAGTGATAGTAAATCAGAACTACTTGCAGAATTGAGTGATGATTCGTGGGGAAATTCGTCATCAGACACTGAAAACGATTTTGCGACTTTGCTCAGTGATGTGTGAACTTGGCGCTCTATTTCAAATTTCAGTGTTTTTGGTTTGATTATATTATTGAATTAAATGTATTATTATTATATTATTTTTTATGATTATTTATTAAATTATAATTTATGATTTCGTGTTTCAAGTTTTATCCTACCCGGGATGTTTACTAAACTCTTGTTCGGACAGATTTCAGTGAGTTATTCCTAAAAATTACAGGCCTACAATAAAAAAATACATATTTCCATGCAAAAAAATGTACTGCTTTGAGCACAGAAATATGGACATAATCAGACCGCTAGGGGGTTAAAGGAACAGGAGCCGGATCCCCTGCTCAGCAAGAAAGTCCCCAGATTGCTGGGTGAAGAGGAGTTCATCTAAGGTCTGGAGTAGCACAACTGGAGCTGCTGGCTAGCACTCCAACAGCGACTGTGTCAGAGAAAAGAAGCTGTGAATAGTTCAGGAAGTTTTCCTCGGATTTCGGTTCCCTTGGGCATCCTATACATTCCTTACCCCATCCAAGTTTAATCCCCTCAATAAAATAACAAAACCAATGCTCAAGGCCTGATTTCTGTCTATGAATAAAAGCATGAGTGGAAAATGCTAACTGACTTGCTGTGCAGGACTATAGGGGGACCCAAATTCATCAGCAATCCCTAAGAGGGTAGTGCTACACATATAAGGGCTTGTTCAAAGGAGGGGTGGTAAAATCTGGTGGTTGAGCCACCCCATGACCACCCACCTAAAATTAGAAATGCAACTTCACAGGCGTGGCAAAAATTAAATGCAAGTCACACTTGGCAGGCGATACTTAATCACAAAAATGGGGCTTCTCCAGAGTCGCATGCAGTACAGGTGGTTGTGGCGCAGTGAGCCAGCATTTTGAGGGTTAAAGCAGATGATGAAGAGGATCCTCTATACTTTAAAAATGTATTTTTATTCGTTCATTGATGGATTCTTTATGGGTTTTTTTTTTATTTACTTTAAATAAGTCCTAGTATAAATTGTTGTGGATATTTTTACTTTGAACTCACATTGATCAGCTATGTACAGGTGAAATTCGAAAAATTTGAATATCATGCAAAAGTTCATTTATTTCAGTAATGCAACTTAAAAGGTGAAACTAATATATGAGATAGACTCATTACATGCAAAGCAAGATAGTTCAAGCCGTGATTTGTCATAATTGTGATGATTATGGCTTACAGCTCATGAAAACCCCAAATCCACAATCTCAGAAAATTAGAATATTGTAAAAAGTTCAATATTCTAGGCTCAAAGTGTCCCACTATCAGCTAATTAAGCCATAACACCTACAAAGGGTTCCTGAGCCTTTAAATGGTCTCTCAGTCTGGTTCAGTAGTAATCACAATCATGGGAAAGACTGCTGACCTGACAGTTGTGCAGAAAATCATCATTGACACCCTCCATAAGGAGGGAAAGCCTCAAAAGGTACCGTATATACTCGAGTATAAGCCGAGTTTTTCAGCACATTTTTTGTGCTGAAAAACGGCCCCCTCGGCTTATACTCGAGTCAACGTCTGCAGATGTCTAGCAGGGGGACAGAACAGAAGGGAAACTAAGTACAGGGGTGGGCAGGGGGCTGCTGTCTCTTACCTGGCTCCGGTGCCACGACGATCCGGTCCAGGAAGCGCGGCTGCTCCTTCATTCGGTTCGTCCACTGGATGTTCGCGCGGCTGCTCGGCTCCGCCTTTTCACCGGTGATTGGCCGCCAGAACTGTAGCTCAGGAAAGGCACACAGGCGGCCAATCACCAGCGAGGAGGCGGAGCTGAGCGGCCCCGCAAAAATCGAGTGAAGGAGATGCAGGTAAGTGTGCCGTGCTTAGGTGCTGCTGCAACCACATATGCTGGCTGCAGCAGCACCATACTGGAACAGGGGTCAGCAAGTGTCAGTGGGAGGAATAGTGCCCCATCATTGGTGTCACTGATACCAATGATGGGGCATTATTCCTCCCACTGATACCAACGATTGGGCACTATTCCTCCCCCCCCCACTGACACCAATGATGGGGCACTATTCCACCCCCCCCCCACTGACACCAATCATGGAGCACTATTCCACCCCCCACTGACACCAATCATGGGATACTATTCCCCCCCCCACTGACCCCCCCCCACTGACACCAACGATGGGGCACTTTTCCTCCCCCCCACTGACACCAACGATGGGGCACTATTCCTCCACCCCCCCACTGACACCAATGATGGGATACTATTCCTCCCACTGACACCAATGTTGGGACACTATTCCTCCCACTGACACCAATGATGGGACACTATTCCTCCCACCACTGACACCAAAGATGGGGCACTATTCCACTGACACCAATAATGGGGTGCCTCATTTCCCACCCTCGGCTTATACTCGAGTCAATAGTTTTTCCCAGTTTTTTGTGGTAAAATTAGGTACCTCGGCTTATATTCGGGTCGGCTTATACTCGAGTATATACGGTAATTGCAAAAGAAGTTGGATGTTCCCAAAGTGCTGTATCAAAGCACATTAATAGAAAGTTATGTGGAAGGGAAAAGTGTGGAAGAAAAAGGTGCACAAGCAACAGGGATGACCGCAGCCTGGAGGATTGTCAGAAAAGGCCATTCAAAAGTGTTGGGGACTTTCACAAGGAGTGGACTGAGGCTGGACATGGGCTTCAAATGTATTCCTCTTAACAAGCCGCTCCTGAACAACAAACAAACATCAGAAGCGTCTTACCTGGGCTAAAGAAAAGCAGACCTGGTCTGTTGCTCAGTGGTCCAAAGTCTTCTTTTCTGATGGGAGCAACTTTTGCATCTCATTTGGAAACCAAGGACCCAGAGTATGGAGGAAGAATGGAGAGGCACACACTGCAAGATGCTTGAAGTCCAGTGTGAAGTTTCCACAGTCTGTGTTGATTTGGGGAGCCATGTCATCTGCTGGTGTTGGTCCACTGTGCTTCATTAAGTCCAGGGTCAACGTAGCCGTCTACCAGGAGATTTTGGAGCACTTCATGCTTCCTTCCGCAGACGAGCTTTATGGGGATGCTGACTTCATTTTCCAGCAGGACTTGGCACCTGCCCACACTGCCAAAAGCACCAAAACCTGATTCAATGACCGTGAGATTACTGTGCTTGATTGGCCAGCAAATTCGCATTGCCAAGAGAAAGATGAGAGACATGAGACCGAACAATGCAGAAGAGCTGAAGGCCGCTATTGAAGCATCCTGGTCTTCCATAACACCTCAGCAGTGCCACAGGCTGATAGCTTCCATGCCACGCCGCTTTGAGGCAGTAATTGCTGCAAAAGGGGCCCAAACCAAGTACTGAGTACATATGCATGCTTATACTTTTCAGAGGTCCAATATTGTTCTATGTACAATCCTTGTTTTATTGATTGCATGTAATATTCTAATTTTCTGAGATTGTGGATTTGGGGTTTTCATGAGCTGTAAGCCATAATCATCACAATTATGACAAATCACAGCTTGAACTATCTTGCTTTGCATGTAATGAGTCTATCTCATATATTAGTTTCACCTTTTAAGTTGCATTACTGAAATAAATGAACTTTTGCACGATATTCTAATTTTTCGAGTTTCACCTATACATTCTAATGCTGCTGCAAGGTTTGTAGCTGCTCAGCCTTTTCTGGTGTGAGACAATTCCTGCTAAGAAACACATTTTATGAACTGCTTGATTTTTAATTTTTCAGGCTGCTTCCTCTTCCAAAGTTAGGTCTTCTTCATGTACACTGTGCTGCTGGCTCCACCTGCTGTTCATTGATTCAAGTAGCCATTTACTGTATGTGAAGGCCATTTCATAGGGCTGTTACTTTTTTTGTGAAAAATTGGGATAGAGAAAAGAGAAAGGAGAAACAGGGAGCTGAATAAGACAGCCAACAGAATGTACTGTCTACAAACACTGCAAATAAGTGCCGGAAAGTGATGGTTTGAAATGCTGACCCTCCGACTGGTTCTGCTTGAACCTGGACAGTCCAGATTCTTAAAACCAAAGGGTCAAAGTTTGATTGGAAAAATACATTGGGTTTGATTTACTAACACCCCGGTCACATCGGGTCCGACTTGGCATACGATTTACATGCCCTGCAACTTGCAAATCGCATACCAAGTCGCATTGTAATTGCCTGCAATTACAGCGGTCATATCGGTGTGGTTCCAACTTGGTTGGAGCCACACCAATTTCCAAAGTAGTGCATGCACTACCTTTGGTGCGATTTGCATAGACATCTGTGTCAGATGTCTATGCAAATCGCACATCAAATCGGCATGTCACCCGGCTTCAATGTAAGCCACATGATTTCAAAAGTTGGGATCGGTGTGACTGGGGTGTAATGCCTGTACACATGATAAGAAAATCGTACGAAAAATTTGCGGAACCACTGATCGAACGATTTTCTCTTCGTTGATGAGCAGGATGTTTTAACCGATAACGATATTGTGAACGAAAAACTCCGGTTAAACAACAGTGAAAAATGTTGTTTTTTTTGCATATGAATGACCGATTTTCTATGCGGTGGTATGACAGTCGTACAAAAAAAAATCTATTAAGCGCTATCATACATGAGCGGAAACAGAAGATGACCTGGATGTCTGATGAATCTTTGTAAACACGAACGAAAAATCCAAATGTTAAAAGTAGATTGGCCTAATGAGATAATAAAACCAGAATTCTGCATATTATATTTTTTATGTATCACTATTTATGTATATAGATAACGTAATAAACGATATTATACTCATTGCTGTTAATTGTTGTGTATATTACTTGTTCTGGTCAGAAGGGCGTGGCTACAAGGTCACGCGGACACTGCATCATTTCCACTTGTATGGAAGATGTCAACACTACGTATTGCCCAACGAACGTTTTTTTTAGATTGGTTAATGGGGGCCACGATTCAACCAACAAACGAACGCCTCTCGGTCGTCAGATGACCGATCGGTCGATTTTCTAAACGTGTATTCCCACCGTAGCCTACCTAGTGGTCTGATTATGTCTATATTTCTGTGCTCAAAGCGGTACATTTTTTGGCATGGAAATATGTATTTTTTTTTTGTAGGCCTGTACATTTTTTGGCTTGGAAATATGTTTTTTTTTTTTTTGTAGGCCTGTAATCTTTAGGAATAACTCACTGAAATCTGTCCGGACAAGAGTCTAGTAAACATCCTGGGTATGTTAAAATTTGAAACACGAAATCATAAATTAAAATTTAATAAATAATCATAAAATAATAATACAATAATAATAAATTTAATTCAATAATATAATCAAACCAAAAACACTGAAATTTGAAATATAGCGCCAAGTTTGCACATCACTGAGCAAAGTCGCAAAATTGTTTTCAGTGCCTGATGACGAATTTCCCCCACTAATCATTATCACTCAATTCTGCAAGTAGTTCTGATTTACTATCGCTGTTCTCTAGCTGATCTAAAACCGCTTTTTACCTAAAGGGATGGTTTTTGGATGCCATGGACATTTCTCAGTTTCCAGGCAGAAAGAACAGTAAAATTGCAGGCAGGGCACAGGACAAAGCAGTAGGGACAAAATGTATGTGAAATGCTTTGATACAGTTATCTTTTACTATGTGATTTTACAGAATTTTGTGAATGTCACTTTTACAATTTTCAAATTTCCCGCCGGTTACGTCCCCCATACGTCCTGACGTCACAGGAACGGAACCCAGAAGACAGATGCCAGCATTGGCTGGAGGACATTGCAGGGGACACTGCAGGAGGGACATTGTGGGAGCGCAGGATAAGGTAAGTGAAGAGATCCCGAAACAACACTGCAGGGCATTCCCGAGTGTAGCTCGGGGTTACCGCTTGTGGTGCTGAAACTTTACCCCGAGCTACACTTGGGAATACCGCCAGGGAGGTTAATACTAGTAAGTGCAAAATCTGGTGCAGCTGTGCATGGTAACCAATCAGCTTCTAACTTCAGCTTGTTCAATTAAACTTTGACAAAAAAAAACTGGAAGCTGATTGGTTTCTATGCAAAGCTACACCAGGTTTTGCACTCTTCAGTTTTAGTAAATCAACCCATTGCTGGTCTGATCAAGGTGTGCTTTAGTGATTAGTGATACAGCTGCTGATTGGCTTTGGTGGTTCTCCATCTACTGGATTTGTCTAGCATGTCAGTAAATAAATGTGTTTTGCAGGTTCTACAGACTACTGCATATCAGCATGAACCCCGAGTAATCATGTACTTCTGGTCAGCTGATTATTGTGTTTTGTTTTTTGTTTCTTTTTGTTTTTTAGTTGGTCCATCCATTAGCACTTCAGCCCAGGGTGAGCCTCACTCAATTACAAAAGTGTTGTTAATTCCCCTTGACTGCAAGTGTGTTCCAATTTCTAAATCCTGTTTGTAGGCAGAAGTTACCGGTAATTTGTTGTGCCCCTTTCATTTTTGGCTTGCCTATTTAGTTATTTCCTTTGTTTAGGCTCCATCCCCAGTCTATCTGAGGCTCCATTCACATCTGAGCATAGCGTTTTTGTGCATTTTTACATGTGTTTTGTCATGCATTTTTATGCACGTTTGCAAATGTTTGTGTGTGATTTGTTCAGGCGTTTTCAGGCTGTTTGAGTTCTGGCATTAGCCAATAGAGAATAATTTAATCTGTGACATCATTTTTGCCATGCCAGAAAAACGCTCTTGGTTGCGTGACAAAATGCGCAATTTGCGCGTTTTCATGTATTTCTATGGGAATAAAAAACGTGCCATAATGCATCAATCTGCTTGAATGGAGCTACAAAAGTAGCTCCAAAACCTTTTCGAGCTTCAGCCATTCTGCTTCAGGCGACTTGGAGTGGAGAAGATGTGAACCATCTCCACAGAATAATATTGACTTTTTCTCCCTGAGCGTTTTGGAGCTTCGTGATACAAAACACTTAGGTGTGAATGGGGCCTATGGGATGAGAGGAGTCACCCTTGGGTCACTTTGAG